ACCTTGATGAATTTTAAATTAGTGTTTGCCTGCATGGTATTCCAATATACTTGTGGCGCAGTGGTTAGCGTTCGTAGATTGCATGCCGAATACACGGGTTCGAATCCAGGAAATTGCTCTTAAGTTTTTTTTTGATACAATATTGATGCACTGCATAAATATATAATAATGACTTATTTGAGCCACTGATCATTTCACATTTACGTACATTAAATTTTGTTACTAATAAAGATGGATGCGAATTGCTTCATATGACAGAACTTTTTAGAAACTTTCAGGTTGCTAAGAAGTTCCGCAGGGAACTTTTAAGATACTTTAAAGTTGGTAAGAACTTCCGCTGGGAACTTGTTCGGAACTTTGTTGTGACCATGTTTTCAGCCTTGCCGTCATTGGCAAATTAATCCACTTGCTTCCCGTTCCACCTGACCCCATCGCTCTACTTGTTAAAGTTCTTCGTAAAATTTTCCAGTCTCCATATATTTTTATGTGTACCACACATATTTTTTTGCCATGTGTCACAAAACATGACGTTTATTTGAGATACACATACTTGGTATATGTAGAATACATATCGTGTATATGATGTTTATAAAATTAACGTGTGGGGTTTTTTATGAAAGCTATGTGTGAAATCACATAAATAAAATCTTTGCTGTTTTATCAGTGTGATGACAGACTTCAAGTTGATATGAGTACGCATGGGTACTTTGTGCAGCCGGGTGCTTTCTCTAGCTTCTAAAACATCAAGAAAGTTCGGTAGGAGCTTTATTTGAACTTAAGGTGGATTCTTAGGAACTTGGTCACTACAAAGTTCCGAAAAAGTTCCCAGCGGAACTTCTTATCAACTTTAAAGTATCTTAAAAGTTCCCTATGGAACTTCTTAGCAACTTGAAAGTTTCTAAAAAGGTCTGTCATCAGCTTGGAGTTAGTTTTTTAAGCACGCCCAAGTCGTTATTACCCAACAAACTTTGCAACCAAAATAAGAGCTTATTCAGGTAAACATATACTTCTTCAGCTAAAAAATGGCTTATTCTGCTATTATTCAGCTCAAATTGTTTGTTGAGCAAACATGGCCGCAACAAAGTTCCAACGGAACTCCTTTTCAACAACTTTAAAGTCTCTATGAAACACGAGACTATTTTATTAAAAAATGAAATGCCATCAACAAAAATCAGTAGCGGCAACGGTGGTGTAGTGGTAAGCGTGATTACCTCTCACCCCAGCAGGCCTGGGTTCAATCCCAGTCGACGCTGCCGGGATGTTCTGAGGCATAACATCTCTGATCGCGCCGAGGATCACGCCTTCCTTCGGAAGGGAAGTGAAGCCGTTGGTCCCCGGTTCATGAGTTGATGGGTCGATAGGTAGGGTCCAGGTGTGGAAGCTACCTCCCTGGTGTAGCATTGGTGCTCTGCACGGGAAACAAATCAAGGGAAGAAAAACAAAAATCAGTATATGAAGCAAGCATGCGAGACACCGGACATTGATTATGATTTATTTTTTTCTAAAACTTAGCTACACAAAAAAAAATTGTTGAATATTACATCTAAACTGCTGCAACCAGGTCAATCCATAGGTTGTGTAATATAACCATAGAGGTAACTCTAAGACCACTGGCTCCCGAAGAAAATCATTATTATTTTTGGCTCACTCAGTACCAGAACAACGGTCCCAAGCAGTCCCAAGCTATTTCACTCACCCCTGCATGTTCTGCATGAATCCACACACCCCTGATGTTATCTGTCAAACTTTCATAGCAAATCAAAACAAACATAGTGTAGTAATAGAATTTCAACTAGAATAGGGTACGTTAATCGTTTGCTTGGGACCAATAGGCTACTAAAGTGGTGAGCCAATTTAAAATCGTTAGTTTCGTATTGATTGTTGATATAACGTTGTACGATGTACTTCGATTTTGCGGACGAAATTACATCCATTGATGTAATATTGTATCTGCTTTCTGCTATTACATCATTATTTCATACATCAGCTTGAATTACATTGATCCCTGCATTTTATGGTTTTTCAAAATTTATCATTGGTTCGATTAAAATTTTCGTCAAAATTATACTAAGTCAGAATAACGGAGTGGAATTCGATCAGTGTTTACTAAACTGATAGGAAAAAGAACACCTGGATTCTATTCGGAGCTTCGTGCTGGTGAAGAGCTTCGTCCCGGCGGATTTTCAACACAGAGGCAACTCCAAGAGTAGAAGGTCCCGAAGAAACGTGCTCATCTTTTTGGCGCAGCTCTGGTACTCTCTTCGGTCCCAAGCTAATCGATTCACCCCTCGAAACATAGGAAAATCCACTAACCCCTCATTTTATCTGTCAAACTTTCATAGCTAATCAAAACAAACATTGTGTAGTACTAGAATTTCGACTATAATGGGGTACGTTAATCGTTTGCTTGAGACCAACAGGTCAAGTAGTGAGCCAATTTAAAATCGTTAGTTTCGTATTGATTGTTGTTTCTACTGCGCCTGTGATCTGCTGGGCAGCGTGATCACGAGTTCATCCTAATGAACATCAAAATCGTAAGTATCTTTAAATCTCGCTTTAAATAATATTCATAAAAAATAAAATAAATAAAAAACCTTCTGGGACAATTTTAATTTTGTTTGAAAAGAATAATATTTACCATAAATAAAATAAAGAAGTGGAAAATACATTCTCTCGAATAAACCATATCTTTGCATTGTAAGTATATTTCGATTTTATACGATGGCACCCATAAACTATTTTTATACTAAGTTTGCATTCTCTCCCTTTATACCGACCTTTGCGTCGGTACGGAGAGTTGCGATTTAGCGTAACTTTTATACTATTTAGATTTCAATATTTTTTGAGTGTAAGCTATTTTACGTTAGAGTCGGTGTATAATGAGTCACGCCAAGAGAAAAACAGTTGAACTCGCATCACGGTTTTCGAAAGATTCCCTTTCTTTTCACTTGGCAACAGAGGACTGCTACATCAACTTCAAATGACTTCTAGCGAGCTAAAAAATATAGCAGCTGTTGTAAATCATTATATCAGTGATTTTGTCCAATCATCTTAACAAAAAATAGTAGAAATTCTCATTACTGATCGTTACCAAACATATCCCATGACAATTTAATGTTCACTGCGTGTTTATGATCATTTCTTCAATTATGTTTTAAATTTTATTGCAATACCTTTCGTGGACCTTTCATAGCATCGTAATGTTTGTTTACTTTGCACGATAGGTAGCCGGTTTGACAGTTCAATAGGTAGACTTGGCTTCACTCTTGGCGTGACTCATTATACACCGACTCTATTTTACGTGACGTCTTGATGACAGTTCCTGGCGGGCCACTCGAACGCGCTCGAGGAATTGTTATTGTTTACGTCAGATGTTTTTGTTTTGATTTTGGTCGTGGTATGTCAACAAATCGGCCCACTGGTAAACGTCAAAATAGGGAAACAGAAAAAAAAACAGCTGACTTGAAACGTCTCGTAAAATGCCTTGTAGGTTAATCGATTTGCTTGGGACCAATAGGCTAGTAAAGCAGTGAGCTCGGCGAATGAGAACGACCCAAATTTGAGTTTAGTTCACTCATAACCGCCAAAAGTGCAGGAATGCAGCGATGAGTTAAATTTGTCTCATGGTTTCCTGTGGAAAACCTAAAAAATCTGCCGGAAAATGAGGAAATTGACGAAAATGAGGAAATTGACGAAAATTTTATTTAGTCTCGGAGTAGTACCAATCTCGGTACCAATAGATTGAGTGAATCCAATCTTTACTTTTATCAAATTCGGGATTTTTTCCCTGGAAAAACCTGGGAAAACATGAGGCAAATTTACTCATCGCTGAGTTCCTGCACTTTTGGCGATTATGAGTGAACTAAACCCAAATTTGGGTCGTTCTCATTCGCCGTGAGCAAATTTAAAATCGTGTATACGGGTGCGTTTGGATTTTTGACCTTCACGCTCGCTCAATGTTACTCAAAAGTGAGTAACTTCTACTCAGTTTGGTATTTTTGTACAAAATGTCAAAATCTGAGTAACATTGATTGAGCAAAGTGAGTAACTTCTCCTCTGTTTGTCTAAAAACATTGTTTACTCATTTCTGAGTAATCCTGCACAAAAATGTTACTCACCATGCTTATGTCAAATACTTGTAACAAAAGTGAAAATTTTTGTTGGTGAGATTAAACTTCCGATTTCCCTTTGAAGTTTTGAAAATTTAGAATAAAGAAATGAATCAAGTGGCTGCAGAGGTATAGATAAGGATTCGTTTCGTAAATTGGAAAGGTAAGAAAAATGAAGTATTTGAACATAAAAGCACCTTATTCAATCCTATCAAAAAACAATAGGCCTATCTAGGAAATGTTGATGTGGGATGTTACATCGGACGTAGTGGACAGCATAGAAATGCAGATGGAACATCAGCGTTTTCTGAAGGACATTGGGATCCCTGTGCTCACTCATATTGCCATGATAATGCCATGCAACATTTTTAGACATCGCTGAAGAGCGTCGGTCACCAGCCTCGTCACACCGAAAACATTGTTTTTTAAATATAAATGTACGTCTCCTCTTTTATATTTTAATAAAATTGTTTGTTCTATCGTTTTAATTTTTCATTAATTTTTAATTTCAATTCAATATAAAATTAATTAATTACTCATTTCGAAAAACGCTCAATTTTATATTTACTCAGATATGCTTTTTTACCGCAAATCAGAACTGAGTACAAGCTACTCTGATTTTGACAAATGGTTACTCAAAAGTCTGACTAACTATAGGTTTACTCACTTTAGAGTAGTTCCACTTTTACCGAAAGAGAGCGTGTTCTGTTTTAAAAATCAAGATAATCTGTTTATTTAACCCATCAATTAGGGGTTTAATTTTAGCGTATATTAAAATGAGTTTTAACTATACATTAGTGCTACCTATCGGGAAAATGCAAATATCTGCTCACATGTCCCCTTGGTTTGACAGCCGCACTATTTGTCTTTCTTGCAAAATAATAATTTTCTTGTCGGTCTGAAACGGAAGTGTGTATGCCGAAATCACTTTGATGTCTTTTTATTTGTGACTGTGAAAGATGACGGGCTTGTCGGAAAAGGTTCCTATTTTATTTGAGATTTATTTTCGTTTTTATGTTTTTTCGTACGTGAACTGGTAGTTTTGTGCAATCATGTTGACTGAGTTCAGTAATTAATAATGTGCAACATTTGTGAAGCGAGAAAATAGTGCCCAAAACTAGCGGTTCACCGTATTTATTACATGTGGGAGCGATGGATGTTGACAAAGTTTCGTCTTCGTTTTAGCCAATTCTGATCGACGGTCGTGGCCATTTGCTTGGTCGCTTGGCCTCCGTCATTGCCAAGCAGATTCTGAACGGACGCAAGGTAGTGGTCGTTCGCTGCGAGGATCTGCAACTGTCCGGACATTTCTTCAGGAACAAGATAAAGTTCCTCGCATATCTTCGCAAACGGTGTAATGTCAACCCTGCTCGTGGTCCATTCCATTTCCGTGCTCCCAGCCGTATGCTGTGGAAGGCCGTTCGCGGTATGGTGCCCCACAAAACTAAGCGAGGACACAACGCCCTGAAGCGTCTGAAGGTCTACGAAGGCATTCCGCCACCGTACGATAGACAAAAGCGCTTGTGTGTCCCCGTCGCCATGAGACAGCTTTGCCTGCGGCCGGACAGGAAGGTGGGTAGAATGTAGAAGCAGTGTTGCAGCAAAATACCTTAACGTTTTTTTTGTTTGGTTCTTTTTTTCCAGTACTGTGAAGTTGGCCGTGTTGCCCATGAAGTTGGCTGGAAGTACCGTGACGTTGTCAACAACCTGGAAGCCAAAAGGAAGATCAAGTCCCGTATGTCATACTTGCATAAGAAGAAGTTGAAGGTAAGTGCTAAACAATGAATAATGTTACAATCCGGATGTTTGTTTGTGTTGCGCTATAAGTTGAAGGAAATGGCCACTCACAAAGCATCATCTGGCGGTTGGGCAACAGTTTTTAGAGGTTTTTTAGCAGTAATTTCCCGACTTGAGCGTTATTTGCACTATTTTCAGGTAGTAGATAATCTGTATGGGCTTGCTAGATTATCTTAAGCGATTATGCCCTTCCTTGATAAACTAACAACTGATTCCTACACACCAAATTTAAATCACTGAAAATCAGCAAAATTTTGCTTATTTTGAACTTGAAGAATGATCAGCAATCTTTCCAGCAAAATAAGGGTGCTGCAACATCCAGCAATTTGATCTTCAGTCAAAATGACCTTATTTGACTGAATCTCAGTAAATCTTTTATTTTTTTTGCTGAAGCTGCAGCAGACGAACAAATGACAAGGTTTTACTGATTTTTCAGTAAGAAACAGCGAAATATTACTGAAACAACAGCAAATTTATTTAATTGAGGTTTTCCTGATACCTCAGTTGTATATTGCAGAGCCAGTAGCAAAACTATTTTATTTCCTTTTACTTTTAATGTTATTATTAAAATACATTTAAAAGTATAATAAGACCAGTGAGCATGCATGGTGGATCGATTCTCTTCGTCGATTTTCTCTTTTGTTAATAACTCCCTAGAATTAACGTTTTTCGGTGCGTTTGCTGTCGCTTTGATAGCCAATACAACCTGTTACAACTCTGCATTGAACAAATTCTAGAAAATTGTTTCGCTTAGCTATAGCAATGCAAAGAGAAAGACGATGAAGAGAATCGATCATCGCGTATACGCCCTTATGCATGCTCACTGTCGAATTGTTTTATTAATAGGGGCGATTGCTGTTCAAAAATCAATCGAACTTGAAACGTTAAATGTTCCTTCTTTATTTCACTATATACATTTGTACTTCGCATACGTCGTAAACAAAACCCGCAAAAACATAATTTTTTTTTGTGCCCAACCTGTGCTCTTGCTCTGCATTTTTTTTTTCTAAACAAAAATCCCGAAAGTATATAGGGGCCACAGTACGGAGCTCAAAACGAATGTTTGTATACAAGCAGATAGGCTGTATAGGAAAAACGCTTCGATTTAACTTCCCTAAATGGAGTCTTCAGCCTCCGTTAACTTGTTCTAAAATTGTGATTCGGTATACAGTCCTCGAAGACTCATTCCATCGATGAATTAGACAAAACTTGGAAATGCTGATTGAATCCTTTGAATGCGATAACCTTATGGTCCTCCATGACTATGAACACTTCTTTTATAATACGGTTCACGGTGGTAGATTAATACCAACTCTTTGTCGTTTATAAGATTCTTGGACTAGACTTTTTGAAGGAATTTTGATAAGATTTTAAAATGAATGTCAGGGATAATGCCAAGGCATTGTGAAGAGGGTCCCAAGATTCGTGAATAATACCAAGGGAATCTAATTTTTAGATTACAATTCCAAAGGAATTCTGAGAATAATTTCAAGGGCATCACGAAATGAATTTCTAGAAAATTTTAAAGAAATTTTCATATGAAATGTCAAGTGAATTTAGGAAAAAATTCACCACAGAAAAAATGGTTTATCGACCACTGGTGGGGCGACATCTGTGGGCTTTGATGGTGGAAACTATTACTCAATTAATTATATGATTTGAGTAGTACACTGAAACAAAGATAACAGTTAGGAATACTATTTTGCAGAAAACACTTATTTTCAGTATAATTACGCTTAATACCGTTAAATCTACCATGATTTCAGTATAGTTAACTATAAATATAATCAAATTTACTACCATTCTGTCAAAACTACTATGCTGACTCAAACGGTATAGTAGTTTTGATAGAAAAATTAGTCAAATTAAATGAATTTCGTTTCTGCACAAATCTATTGGTGGGAGTATTTAATTTAAACCATCAATATAGTATTTCTGCCAATGGATTTTGTTTCTGTGTACTATACTGAAGATCCGAGAGATGTCGCCCCTTTATTGGTACATAGAAACAAAATCCATTGGCAAAATTACTATATTGATGGTTTAAATTAAATACTCCCACCAATAGATTTGTGCAGAAACGAAATTCATTTAATTTTACTATTTTTTCTATCAAAACTACTATGCCGCTTGAGTAAGCATAGTAGTTTTGACAGAATGGTATTAACTTTGTTTATATTTATAGTCAACTATACTGAAATCATGGTAGATTTAACGGCATTAAGCGTAGTTATACTGAAAATAAGTGTTTTCTGCAAAATAGTATTTCTAACTATGGTCGTTGTTTCAGTGTATAGACTAAAGAGCCTAAATTTATAAAGAGACGACATCTTATCCATTTGACAGGTCTTCTGCTCGATTGGAATAACTTTTCCTATGACTTTGACAGATCAGGCATAACATTTGATAACGGCACAAAAGCATTTGTAAACAAACTTTCTAAGGCCCTTTACACGCGAACCAAAGTACGTCCACGCAAACCAATACCACTTTCGGAAAGGTGAAAGTTGCCCTTATCCGATGATGTTGAAAGCCTTAGAAAGTTTGTTTACAAATGCTTTTGTGCCGTTATCAAATGTTATGCCTGAGATAATCGATTGTTTCAATTTTGACAAGTCGTCTCTTTATAAATTCAGTCTCTTTAGTATAGACTTCTCTGACATTTCTGAAATGCACAAGTATTAGTGCAGAATTTAGGGTAAATTATAAGTATTAGTGCAAGAAAACCTTTGTATTCACCCAAAATTCTGCACTAATACTTGTGCAATTCATAAACGTCAGAGAAGTCTATGAAAATCATTTTGTAGTATGCGCGAGATAGGCCAGTCATGGTCTTAGCTTGTCTGAAAAGACAAATCAAAAAAAAAAAAAAATTTGCGGTATGCTAAGAGTAAAGAGCTTGAATTTATAAAGAGGCGACATCTTATCCATTTGACAGGTCTTCTGCTCGATTGGAATGACTTTGACAGATAATCGATTGTTCCAATTTTGACATGTCGTCTCTTTATAAATTCAGGCTCTTTAGCTAAGAGAAGAGGTGACCATACGGGGGCGAAAATGAACCACTTTTCTGTCAAACGTGAACCAGCTCCTGATAGGCCTGATTTCATGTGCGTAAGATAGAGGTAGAGATAGAAATAAAAGAGGAAGAAGTCAATAGTCACCTTTTCCTCTTAGGCAGTATGGAGAATCTCAGAAAATCCACGATTTGTGACTAAACATGCTTTCACAGAAGGAAACAAATTAACGAGTTTTTACCTTATCCAAATGGTTTCCTACCATTCCCATACATTCGAAAGTGACTGACCCTCTGGACGTGGGTGATGTCAAAAACAACAAAACATGATTAATTAACCGATGGAAGCTGCTTCTGCCAGTAATCACATGTAGCAGGACACCTACCTTGAAATGTATAGGCTGTTTCGATGCACCACCAATTAATTAAATGATTTGAGTAGTAGCTATACTGAAGATCCGAGAGATGTCGCCCCTTCAGAGGTAGGAAAATCATTTTTGCAGTACGGAAAATATCAGAAAATCCACGATTTGTGACTAAACATGCTTTCACAGAAGGAAACAAATAAACGAGTGTTTACCTTATCACCATAGTAATGTACTCGTGCAATTTTTGTGCATCTAAAACTGCCCATAAAGACGATAATGAATAAAAACTGAAAATTTTCATGCATTTCCAAATGGTTTCCTACCATTCCCATACATTCGAAAGTGACTGGCCCTCTGGATGTGGATGATGTCAAAAACAACAAAACATGATTAATTGCGCTAGGCGATTACCAGATGAAACGTCAACCAAACCGTTTGTAATCAAAATTACAATTTTCACATCTCCAATTAACGCATATTTTTATGCAAATCTTGCAAATCTCCATCGGGAGGGGCCTTATTTTATTATGTTTCACATATTTGAACGGATTTACAGCTCAAATAACCATACATTAAAAATCCGGAAGATCATAACCGCTGGGGCAGTTTTATAAATCTTAACGTTTTTAACACAAAACCTAGATAAACATTTCAAAAGGTCCTATCTGCATTGATCGATTCTCTTCATCGACTTTCTCTTCCGTTAATAACTCAGCTGCAAAACCTTTCCCTATTGTATTTGACGTTTTGGATACTAGAGTCTTCTTTATCAAACTATGTTGTAAAATTAGCGCGAAATCTGTTTGCATAGCAGTGGTTATCAAAAGAGAAAGTCGGTGAAGAGAATCGATTAAAGCGGATAGGACCATTTATTTGTTCATCGAGAAATATGTGGAAGCACCAGCCAGATCACTGCAAAATCGATACAGAAAACAAAATATTCCACGTGGATGATGATTTCAAGCACCTGCGATGGATAAATTAATCAGAACAGGTGAAAATATTTTCTTCTTCCTACGATTCACGGCAAAAATTTCATGTTGGTTTGATGGTTCCCCTATTCACCACCAGAGGCCGCTTAATTTCTATTGGATTCACCTTGGTGGGAAATAGTACTAGTCGATGGTGATAAATTTATGACAGCCGGTTCAAATTCCAGAGTTTGAATGATAAATTATAAAAAAAAAAAGTTCAAAATAGTGAGATACGATCATTCTTATGAATGATACATGTAGGAAATTTGTCGAATAATACAATGTTATGTGAATTTTCATTGCACTGTGATTGAAGGAAATGAAAATGCGTTTTTTATGCACCGATATTATTTAGGTTATGTTTTGTATGACTGCAGATTCCCATCCCGAAATTGACGTCCACGTCTGCTGGATATACTGGATTATGTTGGGGCTCCGTGCGACCTATACGGGAAGGACTAGCGGTTTCAGAGCCCCAGCATATTGTGTGCCTGGTCTACACCAGTAGAATGGGTTTGTGCTGCAAAGTTCCCATCCCGGGGAGCGGCCACTTGAAATTAATCTAAATTACCCCACGACAACAAACTTTGGAACTTATATTCAACAAAGTCT